GTAGAAAATGAAAAATTATGGGGCTGGGGTCGTGGCTCAGTGGTAGAGCGCTTGTCTCGCATGTGTGAGTCACTGGGTTCGAGTCTCAGTACCGCATGTAAATAAATGAACAAAATAGAGTTCCATCAACAACTAAAAAAAATTTAAAAAGAAAATGAAAAATTATGGTTAACAGTGCATTTGAGGGCCAGGTTTACAAACTGAAATGTATGCTCAAGATGTATTTGCTGTGGTCCCTTTTAGATGTTACCGATCAATAGATATCTGAAAACCGGTGCCAAGAGAGGAAGGTGGAAACTTTCTTTCACAATACTTTCCTCTGTTCCTGATCCGTGGCGAGGACATTTTTGCGATGACTACTTTGCTCAAGGAAGGATGCTGGCAGCAGAGATGGAGAAGAAAAATAGCTAAGATCTGGTGCCTGGGCTCAAGCAGCTTAGCAAGTAAAGGAGGCAAACCCTCCAGTGGAAACCCAAGGAGAGAGGGATGGGTATGAAAGGGGACAAATGAAAAGTGAAGACTGAGATGAAAAGGCCCCAATTCCTTAGCACCTCATGAACTAAAGCCTCAGCCCACTGGCAGAGAGGCACCTGGGGCCAGTGACCACTGCACTGGCTGTCCTGAGACCCAAGGGGAAGGAGGCTGCTCATTCTGCTGCAGGTGCCAAGTCTCTATTCATGTTCATCCATAATAATAATAACTTCACACGTGAGTTAACTTGTCTTTCTAGGCTCTGCCAAGTTTATGTGCCAGATGGCACTTGCCTCCCACATCTGATTTACTATAGGGCAGACCAGCTGTGCCTCAGCCCAGGGCAGGCCCGCATCTGGCAGCCAGTTGGTGAGATTCTGTCTGTATGACACTTGTGCCCTAGTATAATTCCCCAGAGCAATCCATTTCTATCTGTCAAGGGTGTTTTTTAAAAAATATGTTTTTTTCTTCTTGGCTTATTTCTAGGACTACTGTTGAATATCTGTTGGCAACAGATCTACTTAAGCACCTTTGTGTCAGAGAAAAGGCTCTTACTGTGAAATATAAATAATGCCACTAACATATTCTGAAGGGAAAATTCTCATAGATAAAGTAAACAGGAAGACACAGGTGACTGCATACCCAAGAATTATTCCTCCCTTTTTCCTTTTCTCTGTAAAATCAGGACACTGATTTTATATGGAGAGGTAATTCCCTCCTAGGAGAACCCCAGCACCAGCTCCAAACAGCATTATGTGATGCCCCAAGGTGAAAACATCCTCTCTTCCAGGGAATTGCTTTGGGGGTGTGAGGGTGAGCCAGGACTGGCCTATAATACTAGGGGGCCGGTGCAATGCTGCAGGCCTGTAATCCCAGCAGTTTAGGAGGCTGAGGCAGGAGGATGGTGAGTTAAAAGCTAGCTTCAGCAAAAGTGAGGCACTAAGCAACTCAGTGAGGCCCTGCCTCTAAATAAAATACAAAATAGGGCTGGGGGTATGGCTCAGTGGCCAAGTGCCCTTGAGTTCAATCCCTGTACCAAAAAGAAAGAAAGAAAAAAAGTCTGCTAGGGGGATGGGAAAATCTTCTAGAAATAATTATCTCTAAATGAGAGAAAGAAAAGGGGGTTATGATTCAAGTGGAAGGAAAAGATACATACACACAGGTTCCCAGCAGCTTTATTCATAACAGCCCCAATTGGAAACCTCTAATGGAAAGTGATGAGATTATTTGGGGACACTGCCCTTCAAAGCGATTAACATTGTGGGAACCTGGTTAGTTCTCAAGAGAGCATTATTATAAAAGACCAAGACCGGCCACTGCTCTCTCTCTAGCTTTCTGCCTCCCCATGTGACTTCTCCCTCTTGCAAGTGTTCCTACCAGGATGCCATTTGCCATGATGTGATGCAGTAGGGTGCCATCAACAGAGCCAGAGCCATACTATTGAACCTCCAGAACTGTGAGCTAAATAAACCCATTTTCTTTAAAAGTTATCTAGCCTTGGGTAGAAAATAGACTAATATACCTTAGCATAGAAATTGATTCCCAAAGCAATGAAGATAAGTCAATTTCCCCTCTCCAGAAATGGATTTAGGATGGGCATATGATCCAGTTCTGGGCTAATGAACCACAAAAGGAAATGCATCTGAGAAAAACTTCTAGAAAGTTTTACTTACTCCTAAAAGGATCACAAGAAAAAGAACTTCTCATCTGAACCTTTGCAGGACTGGATGTGATGTCTGGAACTGCCTCAACTCTTTTGCTACCTAAGAACAGCCTTAAGATGAAGTTTGGCAGAGAATAAAAGAAAATAGGAAACTGGGTCCCTAATGTCATTATATGCCACTGAGGGTAGTATACAGGGAGCTAGACTTTTGGTTATGTTAGATAATAAATTCACTATCTTCTCAAGGCAGTACAACTCATTTCTTATGGTACCTATAGCCTAAAGCTTACTAATATATAGGTGCCATTCTTGAAGAATTTCCAGCTTTTAAAATTTTGTCAATCTTATTATGGATAAAAATTGATATTACATTCTTACTTGAATTTATATTTTCCCTTTATTAATAATGTTAAGTATTTTTCATGTGGATGCAATATTGACTTGTATTTCTTTCATTAATTGCACAATCATGTCTTCTTTCCATTTTCCCATTGGTTTGACTGTTGATTTATAAGAGTTTTTTAAGTTAATATGCACTGATCATTTGTGTATTTAATATTTTGCAAACATTTCCTCCCCTAGAGTTTTGTGTTTTGGAGGGTTTTTAAATTTTTTAAAAAATGTACTCCAATTCATCCATCTTTTCTTATTTTTTTAGTCTGTATAGTGCATAAGGCCCTCTCCATTTTATCGTGAAAAAAAAAAATTCTCCTATATTTTCTTTCAGTATTTTCAAGTTTTATAGTTATATTTTTCATAGTGCAAGGTTGAATTTTACCTTTATTTTTCAACATGAATAGTTTTCCCAACACTTTTTTTGGTGGCTGGGGGTCCAGGGCCTCACACATGCTAGGCAAGCGCTCTACCACTGACCTATATCCCAAGCCCTCCTAACATCTTTTTAAGCATTATTTCCCCACTAACTGAAATGCCATTTTTTTTATCAAAAACTAAAATCTTGTACATTGATTTGTCTGTTCTTGGGTCCTTTATTCTGTATTACTAATCTATTTGTCACTTCTGGCACTAACACCACACTGTTTCAATCATTAAACTTTGGAACCTTGTTTTGTTATCTGGTAGGACAAGCCTATCCTCTTTTACTTATTAAAGTGGTTCCCAGTTTTTCTCATGCTCTTTTTCTTTCCAGATGAGTTTTAGAATAAATTTATCAAATTCTGGACTTTTAATTTGAATTGTACCAATTTGTAGACTGATTTGGGAAAGGTTGTCATCTTCACTTTCTTCTTTTTTTTTTAATGTTTATATGTTTTCTGTGGTTCTGTCCTCTACCCTTGAGCTACACAGATCTTTATTTTTTATTTTGAGACAGATCTCCTTGAGTTGCAAAGGCTGACCTCAAGCTTGCAGTCCTCCTGTCTCAGCCTCCCAAATAGCTGGGACTACCAATGAGTGCCACCACACCCTCTGTCATTTTTTCAATAAGTAATTTCATTTTTGTATAAAAGTGAAATTTGTTTCAGTGCCAAATGTGGTATCTGTAGCTTCTCCCTGACAATTTTTTTTTTCTGGGCGGGGGGTCCTGGGGCTTGAACCCATGGGCACTTTACCACTGAGCTTCATCCCTATCCTCAGCCCCTTTTATTTTTTATTTTGAGGCAGAGTGTCTGTAAGGTGTTGAGGCTGGCTCTGAACCAGTGATCCTCCTGTGCCACAGTCTGGCTGGGCAAAATAACGGGGGGTGGGGGGTGACAAGCAACTTGTGAAAATTGAAACAGCGGGAGCACCTTTATTACAGGACAGCAGAGGTATATATACCCAACTAATTACACACAGCTTAACTTAATTAACATCATCTAGATGCAGCAGTCAGTCATTAAGGAATCCTCATCATCTTAATGGCTCGCTGGTGTTGCTTCAGAAACCACTCCTCCTGACAAAGTGCCAGGTGCCATCTTGACTTGGTTGTGGCCCTCAACACTCCTGCATCAGTCTCCCAAGTCACTGTGATTACAGGCATGCACCCCCACCCCTAGCTAGGTCTGTCTTTTCAACAGGATTGTTGAAAATCAGAGTTTAGAGCATCTGTCCATTCGTTCATTCCAGATATATTTATTGAAGGACTCAGATGTGAATAAAACAGTATTCTTTCCTTAACAGCACTCACATCCTAATGGTATCTGACCTACTCAGACACTGGGATCTGTAAGGTTTGGATCTATCAACATCACCGTTTCATGCTTTCTGTTTCTGTATGTCTTATTTCTTTTCCCCCACTTTTGTCTTTTATTAGATAGGGATTTTTCCTCTTTAACAGTCTGGAAATTACACATTCCATTTCTATTTTTCTACTAGCTGCCATTAAATTTTGACAAAATTGAATTCACTATCAGTGCCAAATGTGGTATCTGTAGCTTCTCCCTGACAATATGAGACTCTCAATACAATAGCACCATTTCCCTCCCATGACAGTTATTCAGAAATTTAGTTCCAGGCCATTGTGGATCTTTTTGTATTATGTATCAAATTTATTCAGATTCATTATAACTCTCACTGATGGCTTTGCTCAATATGATTTTCCATGTTCTATCTTTCTCTTTCTTGAACGCATTTTTTCTTTTTGCTACAATCATTCCTGAGGAATTCTTTCAGGAAAGTCCTATAAATGAAAAGCTCTCTGAGCCTTTATGCATCCTAAATATTTACTCTTTATTTTGAACTCACACTGCAGTGGTAGTTTGAATGGATATAGAATTATAGAATTCTAGGTTCAAATTTATCTTCCCCCAGAATTTTGAAGACTTTTATGCCTTCTCTTCTAGCATTCCTTATGGCTAGTCGAAGTCTGATACCCGATTTTCATTCCTGTGCTTGTGCATATTACAGAAACTCAACTCCAACTAGCTTTAGTCAAGTAAAGAATTTATTGACTCATACCTGGGGAGCCAAGAAGCGGATCTTGCCTCCAGTGTGGATGAATCCAGTGGTCTAAACAGTGTCATTGGGGCTCTTTTCCATTTCTTGTGACTTTGTTTTTCTCTGTATGTTTGGTTCATTCTACACTAAAACAGCAAGTTCCTCTCTGCAAGAAAGATAACTACATGCAGCTAGAGCTAATATCCCTGTAGTCACATAACCTCTCAAGAAAGGGACTGGCTTCCCCATTATCACCTGAAAATCCTGGGAGGATCTGAGTGAGTTCTTTTGCATCCTGTTCCCATTCTAAGTTAATCACTCTAACTAGAGAGAGGAATTCTCTAGTCAAGTTTAGGTCCTGAGCTTCTTCCTGTGGCCTGGATTGTCTATCTGAATGATATGGAAAGAGAAAAGACTTTCAGCTGAAAAGGAAGGAAGGAAAAGAAGTATGGAGGAAGAAAGGAAAGACGGAAGGAGGTAAAGCAGGAAGGAAGGAAGTTGCTCTTACTGAGAGAATGAAGAAAGAAAAGCAAACATGAAATGTAGAACTATAACTTCTGTTGTCCAATATAGTAGATAAGACTTCTTTTTCTCTCTGGGAATTTTTCAGATTTCATTTTTTATTCTTGGAACCTGTTCATTTCACCAGAATTTTCTGGTGTGGATCTTTTTACATTAGTTCCACTGGCTTTCAGTGGCTCCTTTAAGATACATGGTTCTTGTCTCTCTATAAGCTTAAAGAAATATTTTTTCCTATTATTTCCTTCCTGCCTCTGTCTCTGTTCTCTGGCTCTGGAATTCCTGTTCAATTGGTGTTTTGGCCTCCATGGATTAATCCTTTTTATATTAACTCTTCCTCGTATGTTTCATCTCCTTGTAGTTTTGCTCCAAATTCTGATAGATTTCCTGGGCCTCGTCTTCCAGATCATTCATTTGGCCTATTCTGTTGTTCAGACTTCTTGTTGAACTTTTCATTTCAGGCTTTAAACTTTATATAATTATTTCTTGTTCTCTGGTTCTAAGGTTTTCAGAGCAGTCTGTTTTTATTGTTGCTTTAATGAGTGCTCTTACCTCAGGGATTTTTTTTCCTCTTCTGTTTCTTAAATTGCCTCTTTTTCCTCAAAGCAGTTCTAGGTGCTTCTCTTTTACATACTGTTGATTTTCCTCAAAGACCTAGTATTCATCCGTTGTTGTCCATTTATACAGTAGTCAGTGTGGGTAGCTAGCAAGTGTTTCTTCTGCAGCTGTGTTGACTGGTTTCCCAAAAGGCGTGGTTATGATTTGGATTTGAGGTGTCTGCCAAAACTCCTGTTAATGCAGGAATATTCAGAGGTGAAATGATTGGATTATGACAGCTGTAACATAATCAGTCCCTCCTAGTTTGAATGGATTAACTAAGTGGTAACTGTAGGCGGGTGGGCTTAGGTAGGGCAAGGCTGGGAGAGGTGAATCACTGGGAGTTAGTCCTGGAAGGGTTCATCTTCCCTATAGGCCCTTCCTTATCTCCCTCCCCCTCCCCCTCCACCTTCCCTTCCACCTCCCCCTCTCCCTCCCACCTCCAGCCCCATGGGTGCTGTCTCACCTTGAGCCTAGAACAAGGAAGTCAGACATCTGTGGACTGAGACCTCTGAAACCATGAGCATCAAATAGACTTTTCCTCTTCTAAGTTGTTCTTGATGGGTATTTTGGTCATAGTGATGCAAAAATCTGACTAAAACACCTGGGAAGGATTCTTCAAGAGGGGAACATCCTAACCAGGAAGCTTGGGCACAGGGCAGGTGTGAGGCTGTTGACCTCTCTCCAATTACCAAAATAAGGAGGGTTCTGCCCTAGCAATGAGGAACTTCAGTGGTTTCCCTGTTGGAAAGGTCTTTCCCTCTTCTTTCCCTTTTATGTCTTATGGAGTCTGGAATTTCCCTGAGGTCACACTGGTTATTCCCCTCCCAGGCCCTCCATTCATTTCAGCAGCTCTTCCCGATAGGGCCCTTTCCCCTGGCCAGCAAGAGGTTTAGTGAGAGTTGCAACCAGCCCTTCTGGTCTAAAGGCAGCTTTCAGTCAAGTTCTAAGGACTGCCCAGAACCTTCTTCCTGTTCATTGTATGAGCCAAGGCTGAGCTCAGAGTTTCTCTCATTCTACTCTTACTTCACAGTGGTTTTCTACATGAATCATGGGCTGGGATTTTCTTAGTTCTTTCTAATCCCATTCATTGGAGAATTGCTTTCATTTGCTGGTGTCAGTCTCCTGTCACTGCACTGAGGGAATTGGAGAGAAATAAGAGTCACCTCCTATGTTCTGATCCACTCCCACACCTGTTATGAACTATCCATTATGCACTTATTTTACATATTGAACTACCCGTGGAGCACTTTTGAAATAGTCTGTTTGCTAGAATTTGACTTATATACAAGGGTGATGTGAATTAACTTTTTTGAATTGCTTTTAATTTTTTTTTTTTTAATTTTTTATTGTGGGTTGTTCAAAACATTACAAATTTCTTGACATATCATATTCCACACTTTGATTCTAGTGGGTTATGAACTCCCACCTTCACCCCATACACAGATTGCAGATTCACATCAGTTACACATCCATTGATTTACAAATTGCCATACTAGTGTCTGTTGTGCTCCGCTGCCTTTCCCATCATCCACCCTCCCCCCTCCCCACCTCTCCCCTCCCCTCCCCTCCTCTCTCTCTACCCCCTCCACTGTATAACCCTGAGGGTCTCCTTCCATTACCGTGCAATTTACCTTCTCTCTCCCTTTCCCTCCCACCTCTCATCCCTGTTAAATGTTAATCTTCTTCTCCTGTTCTTCGTCCCTACTCTGTTCTTAGTTACTTTCCTTATATCAAAGAAGACATTTGGCATTTGTTTTTTAGGGATTGGCTAGCTTCACTTAGCATAATCTGCTCTAATGCCATCCATTTCCCTGTAAATTCTATGATTTTGTCATTTTTTAATGCAGAGTAATACTCCATTGTGTATAAATGCCACATTTTTTTTATCCATTCGTCTATTGAAGGGCATCTAGGTTGGTTCCACAGTCTTGCTATTGTGAACTGTGCTGCTATGAACATCGATGTAGCAGTGTCCCTGTAGCATGCTCTTTTTAGGTCTTTAGGGAATAGACCAAGAAGGGGAATAGCTGGGTCAAATGGTGGCTCCATTCCCAGCTTTCCAAGAAATCTCCATACTGCTTTCCAAATTGGCTGCACCAATCTGCAGTCCCACCAGCAATGTACAAGTGTACCCTTTTCCCCACATCCTCGCCAGCACTTGTTGTTGTTTGACTTCCTAATGGCTGCCAATCTTACTGGAGTGAGATGGTATCTTAGGGTGGTTTTGATTTGCATTTCTCTGACAGCTAGAGATGTTGAGCATTTTTTCATGTACTTGTTGATTGACTGTATGTCCTCCTCTGTGAAGTGTCTGTTCAGGTCCTTGGCCCATTTGTTGATTGGGTTGTTTGTTCTCTTATTGTCTAATTTTTTGAGTTAATACGCACTGAGTGGCAGACACTGTGCTAGTCCCTTTATACTCATTTCCTCATTTAATATAACCTAATTCTCCTGAGAAAAAAAATTTTGTAAAAACTGTGAACCAAAGATGAAGGCTGAGATGGGGGAGATGAAGAAACTAACAATACACAAGGCAATAGCATAACTTGTCCAAAGTTATATAACTAATAAGGCACAGAGACTAGCTCTAAACCCAGATCTCTCCATCTCAAAACCCAAGAATTCCAAATGTTATCTATAACCTCTCCAAGAAAATTGATTCTTTTATTATAACATAAGTCTGCATCTTGAGTGTTGATGGAAATAACTGAGCCAATATATATATCTACTATGCTATAATTTAAACTTTTGCACTAGAATTAAGGAGAGTCTACAAATAATAACCTGCAACGTGAAAGACAGTTAGAGCACACAGAGTGTTGGGAATTAAAAGCGAATTAAATTCTCTCCTTCCTTGGGGATTTTGCCTCTTGGGAGCATGTGCAATCCTCACTCTTTGCTTGAAATACCTTGTAACACATCTTCCCCACGACCTTTTTCCATGACTGGTCCCTTCAAATTCTACTAAGAAGTCCACTCCCTGGAGCAGTCCTCCTGCAACTACATCTAAGAGAGGTCCCCTCCTCCTCAATCTCTCTTTTTGTAACTCTATTTCCTCTCTTAACACAACTTGTAATTATTTTGTTTACTGTTGGGTGTTTTTGTTTTTGTCTGTCTCCTCCTTAAACTGTAGGCTCCAGGAGACAGTATGCATTTTTTTTTTACATCAGCCCCTATTTGTTAAACTATTAGTTAAACCAGAGTTGTTATTAAGAATTAACGCAAAATAGTTTTCCCCGGCCCAATAAGCAGTGAAATAGTCAAGCTTAGGAGGTGAAGAAAGGTGTAAAAGCAAAAAACCTGGAAAATCCCCACCAGTATAATTACCAAAACAATCAAGTTAAATGTTGAATCAGAGATCTCATTTCTCTATCCTCTATAAATCCTCTTCTTAAGAACTAGTTTCCCCCAGACTCCTGTTGAGACTCTGACCAAAGATGATCGATCTAAAGAATGGACCATGCTGTTTGAACCAAATCACCTTTAGACCAATCCTACTAGTCCACCAGAATTGCTTTTTTGGGGGAATTTGGCCTTGGGACCCTGGGATTCTCCACGGATCAGGGAAGATGCAGATCTGCTTGGTACAGGTGTGACTTAAGAAAACCAGTCAGCCAAGGAGAGAAAAATAAATCAAGCTGACACAAGGAAGCGGAAACCCTGAGGCCTTTTGGTGCTTTTCACTTCAGGAATTGAACCCGACTCAGTCCCATGGGAGTTCCACTGCCATCTCTGCTCCTGAAATCTGTGAGACAAACTTTCCTTTTTGTCTAAACCACCTTGAACAAACTGTGACCAAATGGCCCTGACTGAGACAAGTGTAAAGTGTTATTCCTCACCTCCTCCTCTGCATGTGGGAGGGAGAGGCTTGGGGGTTGGGTTTTTCACTTCACCCCCAAAGCATCTGATATGGTCTGAATATGAGGTGTCCTCTAAGAGCTCCAATGCAGGAATATTCAAAGGTAAAATGATTAGATTGGGAAAGCTATAACCTCATCTGTCCATCCTAGTTTGAATGCAATGACTGGGTGGTAAATATAAGCAGGTGAGGCATGGCTGGAGAAAGTAGGAATACCCTAAAGAGTGCATCTTTCCTTGGTCCCTTCCCATCTCTCTACTCCTGACCCCTCCAGGATCTAAGCAGCTTGCCCCTGCTGGGCCCTTAGCCCATGATGTGCTGCCTCATGTTGGGGCCAGAGCAATGGAGTCATCCATCAACCCTGAGTTCCATATGAACTTTTCTTCCTCTAATTTGTTCTTGTCAGATATTTTGGTTATAGCAACACAAAAGCTGACTAAAATAGCCTCCTTGTTTATACATGAAGACGATAATATGGTATCTTACAATCAGGTCCTGTCTTATGTTCAGACAATATAAACCTGGAGTTCAGTTTCTGAGGCACCCTAAAGGCCCCCTACTCTCCCCCAGCCTTCTCCCTACTCTTAAAATTGCAACACTAAAGTGCAACTTAGTTCTTGGTCTGAAGCCCTGTCTCCCTGAAACACCATGGAACCACCATACAGAATAGGTTCCTTATAAGCAGAGACCATCCCATTCATTTTTGAATTCTCACTGTGCCTAATAATGCAGAGGAGCAAAGACACCTGCTGGAATAAATGAACTGAGTGGGAAAATACAGGCAGGCGGGGAGGGGGCTGTGAGGGCACCACACTCAGATGTCCACAACTCCTCCATTTTGAGCTAGGTTAGTTCCAATCACAGTCGAGTTGCAAGATGACAGTTTCAAAGAACTGAAAATCTCTGAAGTGACAGACTCTACATCCATCTTTGCAGTTTCCATTAGTTTTACAAGCATAAATGCCAACTGGCCAGATTCGTTTAAATGAAGAGGAGCAGAAAGGTTTTACACATTGCAGGGAATTGAAGGGCATAGAAGGGGAAGAAAAGAAAAAGAAAATTTCCAGGCAGAAAGGTGGAGTTGAAAATTTCCAGGCAGAAAGGAATCTCTCCCTCCTGCTTTCTCTTTTCCCTCCCCTTACTCTATTTCATAAGTTTTATTGCCATCCTGACATTAACTAAATTATGATTTGAGATTCGTTCAAGCAGATGAACTCGCGGGTCCTCTGTAAAATTGTAAAATTTGGGGAAAAAAATTTAATTTCTTTCTTTAGAAAAAAACCCATAGTGTTATAAATACAACTAAGGGACTATTCATATGCACCCAGTG